TATCTTTTCGAGATAAAGCATCCGCAGCAGCATTTTTATGAGCGGGACGATAAGAAATAACAAAGTTATAATCACCAAGGAATTCGGCCCATCGAACCTGGCGACGGCTGAGATTACGAGTTGTTGTAAAGTACTCAAGATTTTTATGATCAGTTAACACAATAGTTGCTTCATGAGAAAACTCGAGATAGTGGCGCCATTGTTTAAATGCAGCGATTATAGCAAGAAGTTCTTTATCGTATATTTGGTAGTTCTGTTCGGCAGGCAGGAGTTTGCGAGAGAAGAAGGCGATGGGATGATTGACGCCAGAGCTGTCAGGTTGATTGCAGACGGCACCAATTGCGTAATCCGACGCATCGGTTTCGATAATACAAGGCAATGTAGGATTAAAATGAGCCAACACAGGATTGGAGGTAATGATACGAATTAAGAGTTGAAATGAATGGTTGGCGTCGTCGTTCCAGTGAAACTTGACATCCTTTTTAAGTAGTGCAGTGATTGGAACGCAAACCTTGGAGTAATTCAATACAAATCGACGATAGAAATTAGTAAGGCCTAAGAAAACTTGTATGTCATGAACGCTGGAGGGAGTTTTCCAATTTTTGATGGCTTCAACCTTTTCGGGGTCCATAGCTATATTGGAAGGGCTGATCACAAAACCTAGGAACTGAACCGTAAATACGTCAAACTCACACTTTTCAAGCTTGAGAGACAGCTGAGCATCTTGCAATTTTTGTAGGACCAATTTAACATGATGAGTATGTTCGGCTAAGGTGGAAGAATAAATAAGAAGATCGTCAAGATAGACAACAACAAAGGTATCAAGGTATTCTCGTAACACATCATTCACAAATGCTTGGAAGGTGGCTGGGGCGTTTCGGAGCCCAAAAGGCATGACGGTGTATTCAAAATGTCCGTAACGCGTGCGAAAAGCTGTTTTCCACTCTTCTCCAGAAGCAATTCGTACAAGATTATACGCGCCACGCATGTCCAATTTTGTAAAAACAACACCAGAATGCAAGCGATCAAGAGTTTCAGAGATCAAAGGAAGTGGACAACGATTTGGGATGGTGACTTTGTTCAAGCCTCGGTAATCTACGCAAAGTCTGAGAGTAAGATCCTTTTTCTTTACAAATAATACGGGAGCTCCAGCTGGAGATTCAGAACGTCGAATAAAGCCACGAGCAAGATTTTCTTGAATGTAGGTGTAGAGGGTGTCGAGTTCAAGCTTGGACAAGTTATATAGTGGACCAAATGGTACCTCAGAATCAGGGGTCAATGGCATGGTGTGATCATATGGTCGATGAGGTGGTAACCGATCGGCTTCTTTTTTTGAAAAGACAATGGCAAATTCTTTGTATTTATCAGGTAGTTGGATTGTTGATGTTGGGAGAATATTATTTGAGCTAATATTTTTTATTTCTTGAGTAGACTGAGTTGTTGGTACATTGTCGTGGTAAGTAACTTGAGTGATATCTTGAGTGTTTTCTGGAGTAGCAACAGTATTCGAGTGGTTACTAAATTGGTTAAGATCTCGATAGGCATTTTTGATTGTGTCCATATCCGATGATTTGCAGGGTTCAGAAGAGTAGTTGTCCTTAATAGGGATTGTCTTTATTTGAATTGATGATACGATGGAAGGGGAAGGAATATAGCTATGGGAATTATTTTTATCAAGATTGTTATCAGAGTGCTTGGTAACAGATGCGGAGCAGGGCAATACGAGGAGGTTATCTTGGTACGGATCAATAATGGGAATTTGGCTTACACTATTATACTTGGATGGACTACAAACTCGGAACAAACAGGTGAGAACCATGATATTGTCTCTATGATGGAATGCAGGACTGTGGATTTTTAACCAATTCATTCCAAGGATGATGGGATGAGCAGAGTTTTCAAGGTGGCGCAAAGTAATATATTCTTCGTGGTGGGTTTCAGCAAGTTGCAAAAAGACGTTGGATTTCATGTTGCTGGTTTGTACGGAGCTATCAGCGAAGCGAAAGGTGGTAGGATTGTTACACGAGACGGCAGGAAGACCGGTTTTACGCACAAGAGATGCATCAATGAAAGATGAGGAAGCGCCTGAATCGACTAAAGCCGTAGTGGTAAACATAATATCGTCAAGTTTAATGGTCACAGGAATCACGAGCAAGTTATCATCCAAACTTTCAGTAACATATAAAATATCCTTGGCGTTGCACTGATCGATACTTGCCCTTTTTTCTTGTATGTTACTTTTTAATAAATCCAATAATTGGTCATCGGATTTGCGTTTCTTGGACTGGGTGATAAGATTGATGGGGGTGGTGTGGACGATAGGCGTAATAGAATTTATAGATACGGGGTGGCTGTTTTCGTCAATCAAAATGGTAGAGATGGTAGGGTGATTGTTACGAGAAGTTTTGGCTGGGCATGAATTTGTGAAATGACCATCCTGGCCGCAGTACATGCATAGTTGATTACGTCTACGTCTATCTTTTTCGGCTTCAGTAAGTGGCTGGTACTTACGAGAGGGAGAAACATTGATATTGGTAATGTCCATAGGAGTAGGTGAGGTTCTGGGTGCAGCATCGTTGGTAATTCGTGAGTGGTGATTGGATGGGCGATTGGTACTGGCATTCTTTTGCTTTTGACGATGGAATAATCTGTTGTCGATATCGATGGATGCATTAAGTAGTACAGTCAGATCTTGGATTGGATCACGTCGGGCTAATTCATCCTTGATGTTTTCCTTCAAGTTCAACATGTATTGTGATACTAAAGCATCATTGTTCCAAGTAAGTTGCATGGATATACGTCGGAATTCGGTGGCATAAATTGCGGCAGGGCCAGTTTGCTTCAAAAGACGGATCTCGGCTTCTGCGTTCACTACTGGGTTAGTGTCACCAAACGTGGTTTTAATTACCTTCTTAAAATGGGCGTAGCTAGTGAAGATTTCTTGGGGTTGGTCCTTGTCATCCATGTTTTTGATATAAGGTTGCATAAAGTTAAATGCGCTTCCAGAAAGACAGTTGATAGCATAGAGAATTTTGGTACGGTCACTATTGAAGCGAAGTTCGTCGGCAGCAAAAATAAGAGATAATTGGACAAAGAAGGAATCACAGTAACTTGGGTTACCGCTAAAAGGAGTTGGTGGTTTTAAACGTAAGGATGAAGATTGATAATGTTGGGACTTCAGGACAACGTTGTTGGCAATGTAATCGTGAATTTCGGTACCTAGGTCAATAATTTGTTGACGGTGTTGTTGTTCCATAGCTTGCATACGTTGTTCCAACGAGCGGTTGATGTCGAGAATTTCGTTTTGTCGTTGGATCATGCTGTCCAGGGCTTGGACTTGTTCCTCGGTAAGGTTGGTCATGGTTTGGGATACGATAGTTGTATAGATTTGGAATCAGGAGAAAATTCGGACACAGAGGGCAGAAAAGGAAGTATTCAAAATAGTTATTTTGATCAGATATAATGTCAGGAGCGGACAGGCGGACAGGACAGACAGAAGAATACTTGCTTACAAGAACAAAGAAATAAAAGATTATTATTATTTTTATTATAAGAGAGAGAGAGAGAGAAAGAAGAAAAGAGGAGAGAGGGTTGTTAGATAATATATCTGATGAAGGGGAAGAAAGAAGAGGGAAAGTTAGGCTATATTTATAGTAAAGGATTGTATAGATATTTAGCATAAAAATAAGCAATGACAAAGTTTAGTAAGTCATTACTTATTTATGACACATATTCGATGATTGATAGCTGACACGTAGATGACAAGGTGCTGACAAAGAATTATCAAAATTAATGCATCTACGTGACACGATCATGACATATAGCATGATGCTCAAAAAGCAATATTGGGTTGGATATTATGTCAACAATGTTATGCATATGGGTAATCGAACATCAAATAGAGTCGAGTCTACACATGCAAACATCAAAAGAAGTAACAACACTTCGTCTGGTAGCATGGCTGTTGTTACAGAAAAAATTGATCTGTGGATTAAAAAAAGAGTACGTAATAGCTGAACCACAGTTTATATTTTGTTTGCAATTCTAAAAAAAATCTGTTTTCTAGGAAGACTACCGCAACTTACAGTCAATCAAATAATCCGTCTCTCAACGACCAGTTTTTTTAGAACATGATATCATGGATAAACTTTCCTTGATAAAATTGAATGCTTCCAGCTTTGCTTTCGAAAACATCAAGAATGAGTTGATGGAAATGAAAGCTTCCGAGGAAAACCCTGTCCACGTAAGCCATGTCTTATCTGGTGGGAGCTGCCTCTGTAAGCTTAGAAGAAATTTTAGGCTTCCATGCAGACACATCCTTGCTGTCTCGTTTATCGAAGGAAAACTTCCATTATACGTGATTCACCAAAGATGGAGAATCTCATATTTTGAGGGCAGCGGTAAAAATTCAATGTCTTACAAATTTTATTATCCTTCTTAAAACTAAACTAATAATAATGTACTTCATAGTTGCTACCGTGGCCGAAGTTTCTGCCGAATTGGCTAAAGGTTCTCCGGACGAATTGGATATCAATACAACAGAAATCCAATTAAGACTGGAAAAATTGATGTCTTTGTGCAAGGTTTTGGGGAGCCAACAAGAATCCGTTGATCTCATAAAGGACATGGATGCTTTGATCAGTAAGTATTCAAACGATCGTTTAGAAAACACTCTCGCACCAAAAATTGTCGAAATACAGAAGGGTCGTCCTAAAGGCACCAAAAGAAACACGCTTGGTGTGGAGCACGAAGACTAAAAAATATCTAGCGAGCAAAAAAATGCGAAAAAAAATAAGCAAGAACAAAAAAAAGTAGAAAACAACAAAACCCAAAAAAATAAACCAAGTCTTCGTAAGCCATCGACAACAGCCATCAATAAGCTCAGATCAAAGTAAATTTATACCCTGCTTAATATTTCACGGTATTAATATCTGTATTTTTTTAGATACAAACCATCTGAAGTAGTAACACGCGACTCTGACAATAGCAATCTATTCAAGATGCTAGATAGTCAGTATGCCAACGATGTTCTCGGATTTGTTAATCCCACTCCCGATGGCAATTGTGGATTTCGCGCTGTCAGTGCTGCTGTTTTTGGACACGAAGAAGCCTGGATCCAGGTCAAAAAAATGATGTTAGCTACTTTTTTAAAGTATGCTAACTCCATTTATGACAGCTACGCTTTAAACGAAGCCTACATAACAACAAAACTTCAGTCAACAAAAGCGCCATGTCTTGACAATTTGAATCTTTGGTTTGATTGTTATGGCTGCCCTCAAATAGTTGCTGATACGTTTAGACGACCCGTAATCTTGCATGCAACAACGCCAAAAACGGACAAATACGATAATCTGTGGAGGGATGATGACGAAAACGTCATTTATACCAAGGATGCAATAACTTTTGTGCCATTTCTTGGTTTAGATTTGGAGAAAATGAATGAAACTATTGTTCTTTTTTTTATTAACAGTCATTTCTATATGATTGAGCCCATCGTTGACTCCAAAACCAAGAAAGCCATTATCCCAAAAAAATGGCCAACCATCAATTTCTCTCATCAAAAAATATTCAATGCGCACCGGGACATCTGTGTTAACGACGTATCTGAATATTATCAAAATAACTAAATCTTTTTTTTTTTTTTTACCTATCACTTATCCTTATTATACTTATTCTTATCACATTTATCCTTAAAATTATAAAAAAATAAAATAAAAAACTTAGACAAATAAACATGAGATTGAACTCAAAAGCACAGTAGGAACAGTGATGGAATTGTTTAAACTATTTAACATCATGTTTGCATCCATTATGTGTGAGAAAAAGTATGGTGCGCGAAAAAGTGTGGTGCGCCAGCAAAAAAAGTATGGTGCGCCAGCGAAAAAAGTATGGTGCGCCAGCGAAAAATAGTATGGTGCGCCAGCGAAAAAAACGTATGGTGCGCTAGGGAAAATGAATGGTCCACCAGCCAAAAAATGTAAGGTGCGCCAGCGAAAAAAAGTATGGTGCGCCAGCGAAAAAAGCATGGTGCGCAAGAAAAAAGTTCAATGTGCAAAAATTATTTTTGGTCCGACCCGGAATTTATTATTTGACCGGCACAGAAAAGTATGGTGCGCGAAATTTTTTTTTCAAGCAAAAAGTATGGTGCGCGTATAATTAGCCATCAAAAAAATGGTATATGCATCCAAATCAAATTGCTTGTCGCTAATTTGCTTCCATTGTCTCAGTCCCTTTCTTTCTTTCTCTGCTTTCTTCTTCTTCTTCTTCTTTTTCTTCTTCTTCTTCTTCTGATAGCGTCCTTGCTTTGATCGTTCCCTATTTCGTCCAGTGTTGCTCTGCCGCTGCTTCTAGGGCTTCTTCTTCTGCGGCTTCTCTTGCGGCTCCTCCTGCTCCTCTGCCAGTAGCACTTCCTGCGGCCCCTCCTGCGGCATCCTTTGTGGCTGCTTCTCCTGTGGCTTCTCCTGCGGCTACTCTTGGGGCTTCTCCTGTGGCTTCTCCTGTGGCTCCTGGTACGGCTCCTCCTGCGGCTACTCCCGCGCCCTTGTCTGCTGCTCCATTTGTGGCGGCCCGCCCCCTGACTTTTTCGCCCGTCAGTATGAACGTAAGTTTTTCACCATGGTAATGGTTACTCGATAAAAGTAGCCTACATCTAATGTTGTATCTCTCTCTAGTTGGTGACCGTTTTCGACGTTTTCCTGGTGTTATTGTACACGCAATCACCACCACCACAAAAGCCATTCGATTGCCCTTTGCTCGTGTTGCTAGAGGGCAGTTGGAGTTGAATACGTTCGTAAGGGAGTATATTTTCTTACAACGAAACATGGCCGCATCACAGGTTCGAAACCTTCTCCTGGCTTTGATCCTTTTTTTAATAAATGATGGGGTGCTCACGGTGCGCCAACATGCTTGTAAGTTGTTCAATGATGTTTTCAAAATCACCTTAACTTATTTATCTTTAACAAACAAAATTGTAGTGCTTCACTCACCCAACCAAACACGTTCTGAGTTAGAATCAATCCGACTCGCGTTGAAACTTGGAGCCTTTATTGCTCAGATTGTAGAGGACGCAGGTCTTACCCCTTTGTTGTTGGTGGCATTGTTCCCTCCATCCAAATTACAACGGGCAAGAGTAGCAGTCTTTGCGGACTATAAAATGTTTTTGCAGGTTTAAACCTGCGTGAGTTATTCCAAAATCAACGGTTCCCTTCAGTTCTAGCTTTCGGTGTCGAAACACTGTGGGACTTCTACAATCAGTTTTTTTAAAACAAAAATAAAACATTTTTTTTGTTGACGACATTCATAGTACAGAGAGTGAGAGAGTGAGAGAGTCAGTGACAATGACAAAGAACTTGAGCTAGGTACCAGATTCTCTAACCTGAAAACCGATTCTTTTGAACAGGGTGTTGTGTTTATAGGTAAGTAAAATATAAGGCAGTAGATAAGTAATATGAGACTGTTTATAAGATTGTCTTTATTATGTAATAAAATGGACAAGTATTTATATAAAAATGACTGTCTGCTGTGCCACTATCTTTAGTGTATCTTTGAAGTTGTTATCATTTTCCCAGTGTGTATCCTGTTACCTTTAACTGCTTATTTTGTAGATATGTTACACTTGGAATTACTGTCATCTTAGACACATTGTCCTTCCAAAACTTTAGTACCCCTAAGTCACTGTGTTCTTGTAACCTTGTGATGGGATAGTACCAACTATCTATATTGGGTAATTGATTCCTTCGTCATTCTTAATGTATTGATGTCAGAGATATGGATTTATTTGATGTAGCAACAATATAGCAGATCACCACACACAGAATCTCTGAACTTATAAGGGAATTGTTATTTTCACCCCTTCTTTTCTTATTTTCACCCCCTCGATTTATTTTTGTCTTTTTTGACCTATGGAACTGCGTATTTGATTTCACTTATATTTTGACATTTCGGCGGGACTGCTCTGTCAAAGCATTAATAAATTGTACCTTTTTACTTTCATCCCACTCCCGTTACGTTTGTCGTAACTTTTATTGTTCTAATAGGGGGTCCGAAGCATTAAAAATAAAAATTCCGAATTTTTTTTTAAAAAATCCCGTAATTTTTCCCCCAGCCAAAAATTCAGGAACGGACAATAAATTTCGGTCAAGAAAAACCACGGACGATAATTATCGGTCGAGAAAAATGACGGACGATAATTATCGTCCGTGGATTTGACGTCATAAATTATGACAAAATTGCCATAAAAAGTAATAAATAGTTTATTTTTCTTTATTTTACGTCATAAAAAATGACATGCAAATGTCACCACTCATCTAATTATCATATATAAACCTCGTTTATCCCACATTTGACTTACCTTCTTTCTCTGAAATTATTTTTTGAATTGTATCAACTAAAATGCCCGGTCAACGTAAACAAACTACTGCTAAAACATCCAAGAAAACGTCTTCCAAAACAGCTTCTGTTGATGATAGCCAACGTGGATCCAACACTAGTCCTGTCACGCCAAAGCGATCATTGGTTACTTCGAGGAAAATATCAAGCTTTTTAAAGCATACATCGGTGTACATGATAACGCTGCCCCTGGAGCTGCTACCATAGTCAAAAAGCGTGAAATCATTAATGGTATGATGAGAAAACTGTTGGCTGACAAGGCTATACGCACCGATTGGACGCCGGATCAGCTTATGAAACGTGTTGCCCGTCTTTTTACCAAGTACCGTTAAATAGAGAGAAAGTTGAATGGCACTGGTTTTGGTTTGACAGAAAAGGATATTCGTGGAGGTATCAGCAGTATCGAACAAAAGTGTGATTTCGAATGCCCTGGATTTGAACGATTGTCGACTTTGCATGGTGATAGGCCTAATACCCAATCTGTTTGCGTAGCTTTCCACGGTGCTCCTGGCGGTACTGAGTATACGTTCTCTAGTAGAAAAGAGCCCACCATTACGGCAATTGATGAACAAACCCGTGCTGTTTTTGGTGAGAGCGAAGAGCTTGAACGAGCTCAGCCAATTCGATCTGCTTCTGAGGAGCCTTCAGCTCGTACTCGTGATCCTTCTGTTGGCCCTTCGTCTCCTGGACCATACATGATTCCTCGCTCTTTGTCTCTCGAGCCTGCAGGTGCCAACGATACGTCTTCTCTTCCTGTGGTTCCTGAAGATCGTCCTAGACCTCGTCGTAGTTCGATGTCATTAGACAGGGAGGTTGCTGAAATCCTTGGCGCGAATGCCTTCAGCGACGATGATGATGATGTGGACACTGTTTGTGTTAATGCTGGTTCCCGTCGGGTTCGTGGAAGCTCTAGTAGTACTCGTGCTCCTGGTGGTCGTGCTGCTTCTGGCGGTCGTGGTTCTCGTGGTGCTCGTGGGAATGTTCGGTCGTCCAGATCTCGACCTGAAATGCCTTCAGTTGACCGTATTCGTGTATATCCCGATTACGCCATGAGAAACAAGAGGATGAAGAGGGATTTCTCTTCAGAATACCGTGAAGCCCAGTTGAGAAGGGATGAAGTGCTGAGAGACAACAGCCAGAGGGAGTTCGAGTTGGGTATGACGGAGCTGTTGGTGACGAGTCTTCGGACTAAAGCGTTCAGAACGACGTCCTTCACGGAAATTGCCCAACACATTGCGACATTCCGGCAATCATTGAGGGAACCTCTTGAGAACGCTCGAGGTAACGAAGAGGCGTATTCAGTAAGAAGCGATAGTGAAGGTGAACCCGTCCTTGACGGTAACGATGATTTCTCTGATGATAGATCGGCAGTAGTTAGACGTTAGTTATTTTTTTCTTTTGAATAAAACCTTTTTTTAAAACTAATATTTACCTGATTGTATCATCAATGACCTTCTACAATCCCTCATTCATTACAATAATAAATTTGGTCATAACTTCCAAACTATAATGCACTTTTCATCGATATAATCTGTTTATATTTTATTTCGTGCGAAATGTACAGTGTAATCTGCCAATACTAGATCCACAACCGAATCCCTCCATCTATTCAGTGTACGACCAGAAATACTTTTGATGTTGTCGAACGATTGAAGCAACAATACATCCTTTCTTGACTGATCTACATCTACGTCCTCAAAAAAATCGCCAGCAAAATTGTCGTTTTCAGTAATCAAGAAATTGTGCAAAAGAGCACAAACAGACACAATGTCGTCGATCTTCATCACGTCCTCGTTGCAATTTATCTGGATAGGAATGTTCTTCAAGATTCTCCATTTACCTTTCAGTACACCGATCGTGTTCTTGACGGCAACTCTCGCAGAAGAATGTCCCTTGTTGAAATCTTCGCACTTCTTGGATTTCAGTACCTGACGTCTCCTGAAAGGGGTAAGAACGAATGGATGTAGAGCATATCCGGAATCACCCAGAAGATACTCATGGTTTGCACCATTACCACATGTGAAATAAAGGTGATCTTTATTTACCATAAAGCTGGCATGCTCTACACATGTGGCGTCACCCACTGAACCTACATGTCCTACTTGCGATCGAAAAATGATCATCCTTTCGTCGCATACGACTTGACAATTTAGAGAGTAGAAACTCTTTCGGTTATAGTACGTTTCGGCATGCTTCGTTGGCTTCTGCGCAAGACGGAAATGAGTACCATCAATATACCCAATGCAATTTCGAAAAAAGTGGTACTTCTTGATTGCTGCGGCCGACAATTCTCTTTGCTCCTTGTTGGGCCAACGCATCAAATGTCCAAGGTTCTCATTAATTGCCTTGAAACAGCGCTGCGTGTAGTTGGTGACAGAGCCTTTACTAATCCCAAACAAAGTAGCAATTTGGTCGATGCTGTTGCCTGTTCCGTTGTGGCTCAATCGTCTTAAGGTCACCGGAAGTTGGATATGAACATCCATTTGGGAGACAAAACTCTTGTTGTTGAAGACAGGATGGTCTTCAATAAGGCGAAGAAGTTTCAAGAAAGACTCCTTCTTCATTCGACACATCTTGACACACTCTTCGTCATCCCACTTGAGAAAAAACTCACGGTACTGGTTAAGTTTAGGGATGCCTGCTCCACTGTTCAAAACGCGTTTCGTTTCTAATCCGCTCAATAATTCGTGCATCTCATCGGCTTGTTTATCCTCTTCAATGATGACACTGTGCTTATGCAAAGTTTTCATTTCTTTCAAGGTATGTTGTCTGGTTGATACTTTGGGCATTGTAAAGGTAGTTTATAGAGAGATTTATAAGTAAATGAGTAGTAAAAGAGGAGTAAAAGAGGAACTAAATCAGAGAAGTGCTAGAGTGTACTTTGACTAAGCGACAAGGTTTTTAGACAGTCACCCACACAAAAAAAGCTCCCGGAATTTTCAAAAAAAGCGCCCGATAATTTTACAAAACGTTTAATGTTTGGGACCCCCTAATGTCTTTATCAAACGAAAACACCTCTTACCTTTATGACGGTGATTTGCAGAAGGCCCTTCCCTTTCGAACCAGAAGAAATTTTGAAAGCGTCTACGAAGTAGATGATCTTAACGATGATCTCGACAATGATCTCGACGAAGAACTCGAGGGCGAAACCTTCGTCGTTTTCTCTACTTCTGCCCCTTCTCAACTTGAGTTTAGCTCTAGCGAAACTCTCGAAAAGTATGTGATCTATCACTGCAAGGACAACGGCTAACTTGTTTCTTTGGGCCGTTCTTGTTACTACCCCGATCGTCGCCTTAAGTCTTTGGATTTCAAGTGCGATCGCAATGAAAAAAACAGCAGTAAGTCCACCGGTAAAATACTTTCGAAGACAGGACGCACCAATTGCCCTTTCAAGTGGGTGGTCGGTTCCAGTGGGAGAAACGATCATGGTGTTTATACTGCAAAATTCACCTTGCACTTAAACCATACTGGACATAATCATGAGTCTGCTAATTTTTTCGCTGGTCATTCCACTGCATGCTCGATTGGAGAGAATCACATGAAGGTAATCAGGGATATGACGATTGCTAATAGCTCACCTCAAGATATTTTGATTTACGTTCGCTAAAACTTCCCTGGTGATTAATTCAGACCTATTACGCTTTACAATGCCAGACAGAAGATTTGTGAAGAGTATTTAGATTGTCGCTCCACTTTGAAAGCTCTCTTGAATCAGTTCTCTGAAGCCGACTCTGGATTTATTTACGCGTACAACTCGAATGAGGAGGTACCATCAAAAACCTTTTTTTTTTGCGCACTCTCATTCCTTGGAAATGGTTGAACGTTTTCCTCAAGTGCTTTTGATGGATTACACTTGTAAAACCAACAAATTTGGTATGCCATTCTTGCACGTTGTTGGCATGGATTGCTTCAATAAGACATTTTTTGTGTGCGGTGTTTTTTTAAAACACGAAACCCAAGCCAATTAGGAGTGGGCGGTTTCCACATTACGTATGAAGCTGTTTTGGTGCTATTTAGAGGAGATCAATCCTAGCGTTATTGCTATTGGCCGTGATTTCGCATTAAAAGGTGCTTTAGAGACAATTTTTGAATCCAGCACGATTCTTATCTGCCGTTGGCATATCAACAAGAACGTGTTGGCCAAATGCAAAAATATTGTTTAACAGATGATGACTGGAATACGTTTATGGTCAGATGGAATCGCTGTATGAACAGTTTCAATGAAGAAGAACGGGAGCGAAACGTGAGTGTCCTGAGAGATAATTACGGGTTGAACGCAGGATACCTCCCACTGTTTGCGTATCGTGAGTCAACATGGGTGCTGTTTGTGGTGATCTGCTATATTGTTGCTACATTAAATAAACCTATATCTATGACATCAATACATTAAGAATGATTAAGGAATCAATTACCCAATATAGATAGTTAGTACTATCATATCACAAGTTACAAGAAAACAGTGACAAAGGCTTACTAAAGATATGGAAGTACAATGTGTCGAAGATGACAGTAATTCCAAGTGTAACATATTTACAAAATAAGCAGTTAAAGGTAACAGGATACACACTGGGAAAATGATAACAACTTCAAAGATAAACTAAAGATAGTGGTACAGCAGATAGTCTTTTTTATATAAATACTTGTTCATTTTATTTCTTAATAAAGACAATCTTACAAACAGTCTCAAATTATTCACATACTGCCTTATAATTTTACTTACCTCAAAACACAAAACTGTTGAAAGAACATTTTGCGAATTCTTAGGATCAATACGCACCTTCACCTTTGCACTATCAACACATCCAGAGTTGACGGTGCTCATAACAAGTTGAAGCGAAGACTGATGGTGTGTACCAGTCATTTACACAAGGTTGCTAATTCGGTGAAGAGCACTATTACAAATCAATTACTTCTGATTCGATGAAAGAAATATAAAGTATATAAAAAAACAATTGTACTATATGTACGATTATAAGTCCTTGTTACTTTATTTGACTGAAGTTTTAACTATGAAATAATGTGGTCTATTTATACTATTTTAAAAGCTGACTGTTATTAGAATTGCTAGTCCGTAAATTTGTCTTGACTGTTGAATTCTATATGAATTAAAGGGTACGTTGTCGCCGACAGATTTCTTCAATGATTTCTAATAATATTTTCTATCGGCTCTTTCATTGTATTTAATTTGTCAGAATTCCTAATTTGGATAATATATATAAATTTGGATTAACGATGGTTTTATTTTATGTGCGTTTAACACAGTCGTAATTTCCATGGCTTGCGAACTGTGGGTGTTTTTAATAATGTCACCGCTGGTTTTCATTATTTGTTCACTCTTTTTATATCTTGCTCAAAATTGCCCAAGTAAGTACCACGACCACTCCGGGTATTTTTGCGTCAATTGCATTGGTCCAAAAAAGTATTTTTACGTTCTTTGAACTTGCCGTTTAACAATTTTAAGACTATTATCTCAGCAATGACCCTAAGGTGTTGATATCATATTTAGAAATGATCTAGTTACCGCGAAAACTTTTACAAATACTACTTTTTCAAACTTATGCTATAAATAAGACTTATTCTTCAACTTGGGCATTTTTTTGCCAAATCCTATGGTTATCTGGTCCGTTCTAGAATTGGTCCATATTATTTCGTAGATGGCTAATTGATATGATTCTAAACTGTTAAAACCTGGTCTAGTACTGTGGCTGTCGGACGTTTTGTCTGTTGACACCATTAACTTTTAAGTTCATGCATCAGATCTGCTTTATGGGATATACTTTTTTTTGACCACTCAAATTCTCAGAAAAGTCAATTTTTAATCGATTAAAACTATTTCCATATTATTATAAATTGTTTTCGACTTTTACGAAATATTTTTTAGTCTTCGGCTTGTATATCCTGTTTTTTAATTGCTTTCTGCTTGAGACGAAATCAAGTTATTTTGTTGTAATACTTTGCATAGCGGCGCAGGCAACGGTATTTTAGGTATACGTACGATGTAGGGTGTTTAAAAATATGTCAAAAAATAGTATTTGCTGATATAGTTATTTTCTTCGTTTTTAGTGAGGAATTATCCTGTATACCGCATCCATTCACCTTCGCTTTGCTGGATCTATTCAAAATATATTTCAATTCTTTCCCTGTCCAGAAATGTACGATTGACGGCTTGTTGTTGTTTATCGTTTTCCCACTACTTTGTCAGTTCCTGATTTCCCTTTCGAAAATTTCGAATAAATACTTGGTATACACAGTTTCAATTATGTATCGTAATTCTTAGTAACTGTTGAGGATATCATAGATATAATAATAAAGTTAATTGTCACATCACATTATGGAAGGATAATAAATATAAAAGTTAGTCATGAATCACGCATTACCCCACTGGTTCTCATCCTACCGTTGGAGTCTGTACATAGCGCACATCCCTGTGTCGAGTAAATATTTATTCTGCAAAGGCAATACAATCGAATGGGCCTGGACTATAGAATATTAATAGATCCTGAGCACAAATATTACTCTTGTCATTTGATGTTATAACTGTTGATCCCTCTGACTAATATTTATATACTCAGTATGGAAGGGCTAAAATTAAAGACATGTTGATTATTTACTATCACCAGATTATTACATCATGATCCAATAAGGCACTTACTATTCTCCCAGTTCTTTATATAAATATCCATAGTTTTTTCTCATAGACCATCAAGACATTTTTTTTCAATACGTTTTTAATTATATTTTTTCGTCCATAATAAAAGTGGTATCCAAGTTCTAACAGTATCACTTTGGTTTATTTTTATTTTGTTCTCCATGCAAAACAGTAACTAAACAATTAATGAAATAGAAGGCCGATTACTTTGTATTTGTTGTCTATCGATGTAACAAATATTTCAACGCAAAACGATCAATCTTTCGTAGGAATTTCATTTTAAAAAACAAACTCTCAGTCAATGTTGTTCTATGTCTCCATTTACGTTATACTATGCAATATTTCGGCTTTAGTATGGCCGTTTTTGGACTTGTAGCATTGTATATATTGTTGCGTTTTAAGGTAAAGTAAAATTATAAAATAACTATAGGAGTAGTTTCAGACTGTTCATAAAATGTCTTTTATTAATAAATGAAATGTAACAGTATCTATATAAAAGACTGTCTGCTGTGTTCATATCTCTAGTGCCATCTTGAAGTTATCATTGATTAACCAAAAATGTATACGATTATTACATAGTCACTAATTTAGTCTTCTTCTGATTTGAAGTAACGTGATTTTGTCTCTTTTGTAACTCCACCTTTTTTTTTCTTCCATGTTCCCGCCTTCAAATATAAAACGTTGTATACGAAAGCATCATCGTCTTCCCTTCCCTTTTTTTTTCTTCTTCTTTACTTTATCTTTTCTCCATTTAAATTTTGACACACTGGTAAGTTTTAACTTAAGCATTGACATCTAGCAGTCGTTAATTGTATGCTGTGAAGTGTAGTTGTGTGTCATTTTGTTGTAGTTGTAGGCTCTTTTGTTGTCTTTCCATTCAATTCATCCATACCAACTTGGTGGTAAGATTTTCTCACTCCTATTTACGTTTAACTTTTGCTCACATAATTCCATTTCTTTTAGTTGGTTCTTTTATTTTAATAAATAATCCATCATAAATAGCAGTCCAAAAACTATAGTCATAAATTACTTTTAATAAATGTTAAGTCTTCTTAAATCTCTTTGCTTTAAACTAAATTTTAAGTATTTCTCAGACGTACTAAGTTAGACTTGTGATGTAATTTAGTATCTAGTTACTATAACATTTATTGTAAAGCTTATATCACAAATGGTATCAGCACGGATAAACCTTTGTTAGCTCTAATATGGCTATCTCCTTGCTAGGTTACCACACACTCCTCTGGTGCTGTAGTCATGTTTATTTGTTGATATTTCTGTATTCAAGATCTTATCTATTTTTTTTCTTTGAATTAAATGTTTTCTACTCTCATCCATTTTATATGGATTAATACTAATAGATATATAATGTCTATATCTTTTGTCCCCACCATAATAATTACTGTCTTCTGCTCTTGCCCCGATCCACTCCTCACAGGCCTACTAATTGAACGAGTTATCATAATTAATTTTGTGTATAGCTCTGTTAAATACACCAATACTAGAACCAGTCTCCAAAGGAATGATACCATTAGAGCAGCATTGGACTAAGCAAAAATGTGGTAGACTCAAAATGGGTTACATGTTTTGAATAAAAAGTTTCAGTAAAGGTTATGGAAAAAAAGGGTTTAACAACTTATAAGAGTGATAATAGCTTATATATTTCCTATGAAGCGCTGTTAACCGGATCCATAACTTAATAATAACAAAAAACAGAAAAATAAAAATGTTTGGAAAGTCTCCTATGAATCAATATGTGATGTCATTTTACAAAATACGAAAACCTTAAACGGTTACGATACTTTGGAGGACGCTGTATATACGTTTTTGAAATTCAACGCACGTTCAAGGATGTTCTGATATGATTTGCGACTTATCTTATATGTGAAATTAGCTCAGATAATTCCCATAGACGTTTAGAATACTTGAACCATTTCGGAACCGTTTCTAATTTCTTATAATCTATTTTGGTCATTAGTTTAATGTAATCAGAAAACCCTTAAGTATCGGATCTGTAGGGATAACGGACCGGAGTACCCTGAAGTCAACGAATTTTCAGGGATAACGGACCGGAGTACCCTGAAATCAACGGATTTTGAGGGATAACGGACCAGAGTACGCAAACCTATTGGATCTTGACGGATAACGGACCAGAATTCTCAGATTTGTAGGATTTAGGCTGCTGAGATGAAACAAAATATATTGAGATGTTAAATAGGAGATGTACTAATATGGACGAGCTCCGTTTTTTTTTTTTTTTTTTTTTTTTTTTTTTTTTTTAAAAAACAATGTTTTTTCATCAATATTTTTTTCCTAAATTGAATTCTGTCAAAAATAATGTTGCCATATTTTTTTATTATTAATCTACTGCTTAAAAATGAAAAATCTGTTGGCATTGAATGTGAAGCCTCCAGAAATAAACGGTCCTAAAATGAACTACTCAAATTCCGAAATACAAAATAAATTTTATAACTGCTTCCTTACCTTATTTTTTTTAAAATGAACAATCAAAACAACAACAACAACCCTATCAATGAACAATTTATTGAAGTGACACCGAATTGTGTAACCTATGGTAGCAACCGTCGCATGCTACTACTGTTTCAGAAGAACAGGAGGTTCCTGTCGTCGTTCCTGCTGCTGCCGCCGTTTTCCCGGCTGCACCTGCTACTCCCACTGCTGATGCCACGGAGGCTGCTGCCACTATTAAGTTTCGGATACCAGATACACGCGCTCAAAATGGAATTCAGCTAGCACATTTGATCTTATTGAATTGTATGCTGATTACAACAAGCGGTTGGAGTCCAATCGTACGCTAGCTGAACGAAATGAGTTGTACCGTGCATGTTGCACTCATTCAAGACCAAAAACAGCACCAATGGAAGCTGACCTTTGAGTCCAGTGAAGTCTAAGTGTTATGCTCTCCGTGCTGCCTTCAGACATCGCAATGATAGGTTAAATCCAACTGGTACGGCACCGATTGAAAACTGGGTTTACCATGATGCGATGGAGAACCCCACCAGTGAGGTGCCCACCGTGACGCCAACTACTGTGTATTCCTCTCTTGCTGGAGAAACGATAGATAATCGTGGTGAAGTTGCGGTGCTAGACGAGTAATAGCCGTCAACAACGATGGTGCTGAAAAGGGTGTG